TTTATGGTTTAGGGTTTAGGGTTTAGGGTTTAGGGTTTAGGGTTTAGGGTTTAGGGTTTAGGGTTTAGGGTTTAGGGTTTGCCTAGACAAAGCGCGCGCCTCGACGCCAGGGGCGTCGGGGCGGCGCGCGCTGCGTTCAGCGCTCTTCCCACCCCTGACCACCCAAACCTCAACCTTCCCGGGTTTAGGGTTTCCTTGGCCCAGGATGCTTCAACGCTGCCAAGTCAGTCCTTCTGCAAGAAGCGCGCTCCCGCCGGCGCGCCGCGGCAAGCTGGGTTGGCCTGGCGCAGACGACAGGCGATCGACCCTCAGGGGCAATCGGAAGCGCTTGGCGGGCGTTGCCTTTTTTTTTTTCTCCTCTTGAAAGCCGCGGAGAACGAGCTGTCTTCGCGTTCACCGTGCAGGGGTGAAATGCAGATCTGTAACCAGGCCGCCGACAAGATAGTCCTTCCCAGTTCGGACGCGGCTGATGGCTGTGTAGGCAGCCCCAGGCACCCTTCGTGCATCTAGGTAGATGGAGATGTGCTCCAACTCCGCGCCTTGTAGCTTCTGGATAGTGCTGCAGTAGCCGGGTCGGATGGGGTAGAAGCTGGGAGCGCCTGGACGCTCCGGATCCGACCACCGCCAGACCTCCACCAAGTGGCCTGTGCGAGTTTTGACACGAAGCCCCTTGGTCGCCGGGTTGTAGGTGACAACCTCGGCCAGCATCCCGTTCACAAAGTCAACATCCTTCCGCACATTCTTGGTCAAGAAGACGTCCATGGTCTTGTGGATCGGGACGTTCAGCGGCAGGAGCTGCTCGTCGACTTTCAGCGCTCCCTCCGCGTCGTAGTTGGCAGCGTTAGATTCCAGGTCGCCTGGCAGACCGGCGACCAGCGGCGGGCGGCCGCCGAAAAGGGCTGTCACGGCGCAGGCGTTGACTTCTTGCGCGCCCACCCGCGTGCAAGACACAATGGTCGTGTTCGGGTGCGCGCGGAGCAGCCGCCGCACGCCTTCCGGGGTTGGCTTGCCCGGGGGCGTCCAGGCCTTTCGCTTCTGCAGGCTCTTCAGCGTGGCCGCGTCTGGCTTGGCCGTCCGCAGCTTCTGCAGCAGCTTCTCAAATTCTGGGTCTTGGCAGCGGTAGCTCTTGTAAAAGTCCGTCTTCCAGACGCGCTGCTGCCAAGCGCGGCGTTCCCAGGGGCGCCTGTCGCCGTAGCCGCCCATCTGCCACTTGTCGCCCAAGAAGACCAGAGCGGGGAGGCGGTCGGCCGCGTCCCAGAGTTTGAGGATGTGGTCGCCCTGCTGCGCGGAGAGCTGCGAGACCTCGTCCACCACGATAAGGTCGTAAGCAACCAAGATGGGCAGGTAGCCCGCAAGGTTCTCGTTGAAGCCAATGGCCGCGTGGCACGTGTCGATGGCCAGCCCCTCGCGCCGGCCGTAGCGCTCCTTCATACGACTTGCCAGCTGGGCGGTCGGCAGGGCAAAGAGGACCTTGCTGTTGGTCGCCAGCAGCTCCTCGATCTTTTCGTGGCAGACGGTAGTCTTGCCCGTGCCCGGCGGCCCCATGCAGGCCAATGCCTTTGCCTCCGCGCGGGCCCGGGCTGCGGCTTCCTCCGCTGCCGCCTCATCCGCACTGCGGCCGTCCAGAGACCTGGCCACGGCTGCGTCCAGCAAACGTTTGAACTGCCGTTGCTGGCTGTTGTGGATGACGGCCGCACGGCCAGGCGGCCGCTGCGGCGGGCCGGCCTCTTCCGGCGCGCGGCCGGCCAGGTAGTCCTCGATCAGGCCCTTGTTCGCCGCGATCATGCCCTTCACACTCTGGGACGTGGCGCGGCTGTGGCCCTCAACCTTCAAATCTTCGTCGATTCGCCTCTCGTCCCGGAGCTCGCCGTTGAGCAGAGCCATGGCCAGGTAGCGGTGCTGCTGCGGAACCTTGGCAAGCTGGGCCTCGTTGACAAAATCGCTCAGCCGCCGGAACGGCTTGAAGAGCACGAGGCGCTGGCCGTAGTGGCGGTCGCTAAGCCTTGAGAGCATCTCGGCCGCCACGACCTTCTCGCCCTGCGGCTGATACCTCCTTGCAAAGGCCTCCACACACTCCTCCGGCTCGCCCAGTTCGGCGTGGCGCTTCTTCAGCCAGGCGCAGATTTGCCCATCAGCGTTCGTCTTGCGCAAGAAGTCGAGGAGGCTGATCTTGCCGCGGGCCCAGGCCGAGTTCTCGTAGAGTCTCACAGGGTGGTGCTCGGGCAGGTCGGCCGCATCCGGCAGCGGCACAAGGAAGTCGCGCTTGCCCCCGCCCACAGTCGTAAAGTGCCACTGGCGCAGCTTCGCCCCAAAAAGCTGCAGGACCATTTCGGGCTCCATGGGGTGATAGCGGTTCAGGACAGTGGCGGCAATGCTCACGGCGTCCGCCTCGTCGTTGAGCCAGTCTTGGGAGGCCGAGTCGGAGAACTTTGCAAGGTACTTGGCGACATACTGCCGCAGCAGCCCCGTCCGGTCCTCCCCGATAAGGAGGTCCTGATGACACTTCAACGCATCCATCACGTCCGGCAGGTAGCCTCGCAAGCCAAGGGTATGATCGGCCGGCAGGTGCCGCAGACGCCAGGCACGGGCCTCCTCGTCGTAGCGGGTCTCCTCCACAAAGACCCGGCGGCCGCTGTCTTGCTTCTGGTCCAACTGCGAGCCGCGGACGTACCCCGCCATGTCCTCGTCCTCCGGCATCGAGGCGCTGGCAAAGCTCGACACGTCCAGGGAGCGAACGAGGTCATCGTCGCCGAAGACGAGGAGGTGGAGATGCGGTCGGCCGGACCCATGGTAGCTCTGCGTCTCGACCCGGCGCGTTCCATCTTGGAACTCAATCCGGACAAACCCGTGGAGCTTGCGGCCTTGGCCCGTCTCGTCCCGGACTGCAAACACGTGGTCCTTCCAATCCTTGCGGCTGCCTGTGTCGCCCAGCAGCAGACCCTTGCCGGTTTGCAGAAGGACGTGGACGATGTGGAGGGTTTCTTCCACCGGCAGCCGCAGCCGTGCTCGCAGGAGCTTTGACATGCCGTCGAGGACAAAGCCGTGATACGGCAGTGTCCACTCCGACGGAGCCAAGGTGAAGAAAAACTTCGGGAAGCCAACCTGCCGGACAAGGTCGGTCAAGCCGTTGTGGACCCGCTTCCAATAAATTGGGCTGAACGACGAGCCGGCCATCATGAGCCTCATCGGCACCCCCGTCCCCAGCGACCGCTTGGCCCCCAAGTCCGACCACAAGTGCAGATCGTAGACGAATTGCAAGATCTCATAGTGCTCGGTGTAGCCGAGCAAGCTGCTCAAAGCCAGAGCGTTGTAGAGCCGCTTCACACTGTGTCGGACCAGGTCGTCGTCCGCGCCCTCCTCCTCCGCCTCATCCTCAGTTTCCGGGCGTGCTGGGCGAAGCGCCTGCTCCAGCGTCTCGGCCTTCTGGCGCCTTGGGTCGCTGGCCCGCTCCTGACTGAAAGTCATGCTTTTGTTCCAAAAGAGCGCCGGCCACAGCGCGCACTCCAGACCGGGGCGCTCCAAGAAGGCCAAGCGCCGCCGACGCGCAGTCTGGTCCGCGTCCGGGTTCTCTGCCAGGAACTGCTCGTGCTCGATCGCAAACTCGCCGTAGGCGGAGTCGGCGTTGGAGCGCAGGAACTTGCGGGCAGCCTTGGCCTTGGCCCGCTGGTCGCGGTCAGGCAGGGTGCGGATTGCGGCCTTGACGGGCTCTGCCTTCCAGCGCAGCCTGAGCATGCTGGAGTGCACGCGGTAACCAAGCCCGAACTTTGCCCGCTGCTCCATGCCCACGTCGACCTCCAAGGGGCTCAGAGCCCGCGCCGCCTCTTCTGTCAAGCCGCGCAGCGGCGCAGGGACGTCCTCCGGCCTGGGCGCGGGAAGATCCCTAGCACCGCGGCAGCGGAAGCACTGCGACGGCAACACCGTGGCCGGCTGGTCGTGGAGCAGCGACTTCTGCGTCAGGTCCTTTGGCAGCATAAGGCCGCACTCGGCGCACTGCGCCCAGGCGTAGTGCAGCGCCCAGCGCTCCAGCCCAATGGCTCGAGCGGAGCGCTTGGCCAGCGGAACCGGGGGCGCGATGTCCACCGGGGCATCCCGGACAGCACGCTCTTTTGCACGACCGGCGTGCTTGCGCCCACGAGCCCTGTCAGCTAGCGCCCGCTCGCGGTGGGCCTTCTTCTCCGCGGCGCTGGCGGGCGGCTTGGTGCTCTGCCGCTTGGCCAGGAGGGGCGCCCAGCGGCTCCGAAGCTCTTCGGGCGGCGGCGGGACGCCGAGCCGGCGCCGCCGAGACGGCTTGGGCGCAAGTAGCTCCCGGATCTGGGCGCGAACATCCTCAGGGAGGCGCTCCGCCAGGGCCTTCTCCCTTGCTGCCTCACACATCTTCCGCAACGCAGTTGCGATTTGCTTGAGACCGCCAGGCGCGTCCACCTTGGCGCCAATTGCGTCGGGGTTGCAGAAGAGGCAGCAGCCAGCCTGGCGCTTCTGGGTCTGCGCCGGGCCGCCGGACCTGGCCAGAGCGAAGACGCAGGCCTCACCTTCAAACCGGCTGCAGAACTTCTTCTGGCGCATGCCGTGCTCAAAGTGGTCGCGGAACTCAAGAGGGATCAGGTCCTGGGCAATGCTCTGGAGATTCGGATCAGCCATGGCCCGGAGCTTAACCAGGATGGAACGACGGCCGGCAGCCGTCAAGCATCCCGCAGCCATCAGGTCGTAGTCGCAGAAGACGCATAGCTCTGCGCCGGCCGGCACTTGCAAGCGGCCTCCCGAGGCAGCCCAGCAACAATCCGCATTTTGGCACACGCGGGGCATGGCGAAACGTGTAGCAAGAGTAGAGGTTTTCGAGCCGAGAAAAGCTGAACGGAGTCAAGTTGCTCAAGCCCAAAGCGCTGCGCAAGCCAAATTTGGCAAAAGCAAAGCAAGCGAGCCGTCGATCGATCGGCCCTGGCCTGTTCTGCTTGGCAACCGCCGCGGTGTCAAGGCCGTACGGCCATGGCCAGTGGGTCCTGCGACCGACAGAGTTCGACGGAGCCAGAACAAAGCCCCGTCCTGGCGCAACGAAGAGCTCGCCGCCCCGCTCCGATCTCTCCAGCAGCCGTTCTTGGCGTGGAAGATGATCTGCGTCAGCCACGAATCCTGGCACGCGAGAAACAACAACTAGCGTTCCTGAATGTTTTTCAATAGCAGAGGCATCTTTCCGTACGCTTGTCCGCCCATCCCAAAAAGTGCTAATGCCGCCGGAAGACACGACGTAGTAAGTCTTTAGCGCTGGCCCATGGAGCGCCGCCCGCGCCCCACGTAGGATTTCTCTACGCGAGGCCTCAAGAGACCTCGCAGCCGACGCGGCGAGGTCGCCCGAGGGCGGGCGGCCCCCAGCGGGGACCAGCGCGGCGTTACCACCACTAGTAATGTTTCTGGAAAACGGATCGAGCGTTTCCGCGGCCGCCCGGGCGCTGAGCTGCCGGGAACCGCCGCCGCCGACGGCCGGTCGCTAAGAAGAAAAAGGAAGCGGGGCCCGCGGCGGGGGGGGGCCGCCGCGGACCCGCGGCGGGGCGCGGCGGGGCGCGGCGGGGAGCCCCGCCGGGGCGCGGCGGCCGGTCGCGGCGGGGCCGGCGGCGGTGGGCCCCGCCGCGCACCGCCGCGCCCCGCCGCGGTGGGGGGGCGGCGGGGGGGGGCCGCCGGGGCGGCGGGGGGGGGGGCCGCCGCGGGCGGCGGGGGGGGGGGGGGCCCGCCGCGGGCGGCGGCGGGGAGGCCCGCCGCGGGCGGCGGCGGGGGGCGGGGGGGCCCCCGCCGCGGGCGGCGGCGGTGGGTGGCCGCCGGCGGGCGGCGGCGGGGGGGGCCCGCCGCGGGCGGCGGCGGGGTGGGACCCGGCCGCGGGCGGCGGCGGGGGTGGGGGGGGGTGCCCCGCCGCGCGGGCGGCGGGGGGTGGGCCCGCCGCGGTCGGCGGGGGGGGGCCGCCGCGGGGGGCGGGCGGCGGGGGGGGGGCCCGCGCGGGCGGCGGCGGTGGGGGGGCGGGGGGGGCCGCGCGGGTGCGGCGGGGGGAGGCCCCGCCGCGGGCGGCGGCGGCCGCGGGCGGCGGCGGCGGCGAGTGGCGGCGGCGGGGGACCATCAGGGCCGGCCAGTTTCAATGGCCGTTTTATCAACAATGGCCGCTTTATCAAGGCTGAGTGGCCGCAATGGCCGTTTTATCAGCTTCCGGTTGCCAAACGGCCAGATCTCTGGATTTGGGCTGCGGATGGCCGATTTCATATTGTCCCGTGCAAGCAGTTTATCAGCGGCCAGGCCAAGCTATTTTTAGCAAGGGCTGGGAAAGCGAATGGCCATTTTATCAAAGCCGCAGTGGGCATGGTGTCAAAGCCGATGGCCGTTTTACCAAGGCCGGCAAGCCCTAGTAGCCGTTTTATCAACAATGACCGTTGTATCAAGGCCGGCCAATCCAAGCGCGATGGCCGCTTTATCAAGGCCAATGGCCGCTTTATCAAGGCCTTGATAAAGCAACAATGGCCGCTTTATCAAGGCTAAGTGGCCGCAATGGCCGTTTTATCAACCGGAAGTTGCAAATGGCCAGATCTTTGGATTTGGGCTGCGGATGGCCGATTTCATATTGTCCCGTGCAAGCAGTTTATCAGCGGCCAGGCCGAGCTATTGGCCGTTTTACCAAGGCCGGCAAGCACCAGTGGCCGTTTTATCAACAATGGCCGCTTTATCAAGGCCGGCCAATCCAATGGAAAGCCAATGGCCGTTTTATGAATCGCGATGGCCGCTGTATCGAGGCCAATGGCCGCTTTATCAAGGCTTTATAAAGCAACGATGGCCGCTTTATCAAGGCTAATAGCCGTAATGGCCGTTTTATGAACCGGAAGCGGCCAAATTGCCAGATCTCTGGATTTGGGCTGCGGATGGCCGATTTCATATTGTCCCGTGCAAGCAGTTTATCAGCGGCCAGGCCGGGCTATTTTTAGCAAGGGCTGGGAAAGCGAATGGCCGCTTTATCAAGGCCGGCCAGCCGCAATGGCTATTGTGTCAGAGCCGATGGCCGTTTTATCAAGGCCGGCAAGCCCCAGTGGCCGTTTTATCAACAATGGCCGCTTTATCAAGGCCGGCCAATCCAATGGCTAGTTGAAAGCCAATGGCCGTTTTATCAAGCGCGATTGCCGTTTTATCAAGGTGTTATAAAGGAGGTTGCGGTGTTCCTGGGCCACTTAAGCACAGGGTTTAGGGTTATCGAGTGTAGAGCAAGCCTGTCGCTTGCGCGCCACGACAGTGGCTCCATGCGCGCGCCCGCCTCACCGGCGGGTGCCAAGCGCGTCGCCTCGCCCCGCTCACCGCGGGTCTGCTCGGCTCCCTCCGCCAGCGAAGCTGCGCGTCGTAGCGCTCGGCGCCCACTCACCGTGGTTCGCGCCTCGCTTTGTTTAGGGTTTAGCGTTTAGGGTTTAGGGTTTAGGGTTTAGGGTTTAGGGTTTAGGGTTTAGGGTTTAGGGTTTAGGGTTTAGGGTTTAGGGTTTAGGGTTTAGGGTTTAGGGTTTAGGGTTTAAGGGTTTAAGGGTTTAGGGTTTTAGGGTTTTAGGGTTTAGGGTTTAGGGTTTAGGGTTTAGGGTTTAGGGTTTAGGGTTTAGGGTTTAGGGTTTAGGGTTTAGGGTTTAGGGTTTAGGGTTTAGGGTTTAGGGTTTCGGGTTAGGGTTTAGGGTTTAGGGTTTAGGGTTTAGGGTTTAGGGTTTAGGGTTTAGGGTTTAGGGTTTAGGGTTTAGGGTTTAGGGTTTAGGGTTTAGGGTTTTAGGGTTAAGGGTTTAGGGTTTAGGGTTTAGGGTTTAGGGTTTAGGGTTTAGGGTTTAGGGTTTAGGGTTTAGGGTTTAGGGTTTAGGGTTTAGGGTTTAGGGTTTAGGGTTTAGGGTTTAGGGTTTAGGGTTTGGGTTTAGGGGTTAGGGTTTAGGGTTTAGGGTTTAGGGTTTAGGGTTTAGGGTTTAGGGTTTAGGGTTTAGGGTTTAGGGTTTAGGGTTTTGGGTTTTGGGTTTTGGGTTTTGGGTTTTAGGTTTAGGGTTTAGGGTTTAGGGTTTAGGGTTTAGGGTTTAGGGTTTAGGGTTTAGGGTTTAGGGTTTAGGGTTTAGGGTTTAGGGATTTAGGGTTTAGGGGTTTAGGGTTTAGGGTTTAGGGTTTAGGGTTTAGGGTTTAGGGTTTAGGGTTTAGGGTTTAGGGTTTAGGGTTTAGGGTTTAGGGTTAGGGTTTAGGGTTTAGGGTTTAGGGTTTAGGGTTTAGGGTTTAGGGTTTAGGGTTTAGGGTTTAGGGTTTAGGTTTTAGGGTTTGGGTTTAGGGTTTAGGGTTTAGGGTTTAGGGTTTAGGGTTTAGGGTTTAGGGTTTAGGGTTTAGGGTTTAGGGTTTTGCCCTCGGAAGCGGCGCGCCTCGACCCAGAGGGTCGCGGGGCGGCGCGCCGAGGCGGCTGCTTCAACCCACCCCAATACCGCCCAGAGACAAATCTTTTAGGGTTTAGGGTTTGAATTTGGGCCCCGGCAGGGCGAGTGATAAGGGAAGCGCTTGATCGCGCAGAGACAACACGCCGCTTGACACGCGCAAACGCTTGGAATTCGCAACTTTATTATTCTGCGACGGCTTGCAGCGCCGGCCACATTGCTTGGCCTTCCTAAGACGCGGGCACTTGTAACGCAGCTGCCGGCGAGGGGTTTGGCAATTTCGCCGCTAGCAAGAGGCGGGGGATAGTTCAGGCGAAGGTTGCAGCGATTTCATCGCTGGCGCTAGAGCGCTGCAGCTGCATCAAGTTGAGTTGCAGAAACGTTTGGGAAAGTTGCAGCTGCGCCGGCTTGAGCCCAAAGCTTTACTGCGCTTGACTGGGGCGGTCGCGCGCGCCTGGGCCTCGCAAGGGGTCTTCGCGCGGAGACGCGAAGCTGCTCTGCTTGAGGCTTGCGAAGGAGCCGACGGTTGCAACGACTTCGAGCACGCGTCGGGCCATAGTGGAGGCCAAGGTTGCAACGATTTCCTCGCTAGGGGTTGCAGATACGTTCAGCAAGCGTTGCTCTGGGGCAGTCGCGCGCGCTGGCACGTTGCTTGGTCGACTCGCCGCGGGCTGCGCCTTCGTAAAGAGGTCGGCGACGAGCCGTCGGGGAAGCGCAAAGGCTGCAACAAGCCGTTGTCCGTTCGCTGGCTGTGTTGGAAGCGCAGCGCGCGGCTGCGCCCACGGGGCAGCTAGGGGCCATCGTTCAAGCACGGCTTCTGCGATTTCATCGCGAGCGTTGGGGGCCATAGCGCAGGCCACGGCTTCAATGATTTCGTCGCGGGCGCGCTGGCCTTGTAAGGAAAAGCTTTGCGAGGAAAACGGCCGGAACAGACCTGTCCTAGTTGGCCGTTCTGTGAGACACTGTGACGTGACGGACGAGGAAGGGGGCTTTGGATTGAAAGCTTGCCCCGACCAGTTTATCAAGCGATTGCAAGTTTACCGGCAATGGCCATTTTATCAAGGACGGCCATGCCCAATGGCCGTTTTATCAAGGATTTTAGGAAAGACTTTTCACCTAGGTTAGGGTCTAGGACCTAGGTTTTAGGGTAATATAATATTGCTTCGCATATTATGTGCCTGCAGGCACGGGCCCAAGAGGAGGGAGCCCCTTGGGCAGCTGCACACTTGCTGGCGCTGTCTAGGCAATAGCTCGGAGCTATTGCCCGGGCGCTAAGCGCGCCGTGCGCTCACGACTCCATGGCGCTCTAAGCGAGCGGTCAGTCGTCGCGAGCTTAGGGTTTAGGGTTTAGGGTTTAG